AAAAAAAAAAAAAAAAAAAAAAACACATCATAGTAAAATTAATATCTTCTCCGCTTCGCATCGAAGCTAAAAATTAGTTGTGACGTTTTAAATGTCTTTAGTGTTATGGGTATTGAACAAATTTTTTTGAAAATTAGTTTTAATATTGTTAACGGAGAGCAATTTAATGCAATCAGTGAAATTAACCGCTCACTTGCCGGAGGGATTCTATATAAATTCATAAATTTTAATTCTTTTACCATGTGGGCCCACACAACAATAGCAACATAGTTAAATGTAATATTTATTACAATAAATATATTTTATAAAAAATATACATATTAATATATTTTTTATATCACTAAGTCAATTCGGGGATCTAATAAAAATTGAGGCTAAGTCCCTCATTTTTCATTCCTTTTTCCAATTATACCTACTTCTACGAATAGCTGATAAACAACGTTCGCTATATAAACTTTACTGATGATGAACAAGTTAATGAAGAAGAAGTAAATAATGAATATAAAGAAAATGGTGTATCTTCTCCAGAAGAATATTTTTACTAAACGGTTCCTAGTACGTATAACGTAAAAATAACGAATACAGATATTAGAAAAATTCTTAGAAAGATTTGTTCATTAGTTATCAATTTTAACCAACATACAAACACACATGTTTTAATACGAGACAGTCGTTATTAGAAGTATTAATTCTTTTAGAACCCGCGACTCAAGGCGTCGTATAGACAAACCTTACCACTATGTTTCAGATCCCGATACACTTTCATTTAGGTTCATAACGTGATGTGCGGCTGAGGGAAACACGATACCATGACATTGTTTAAACTCATTTTTGTCTCTTCAACGTTGTATTTGTCATCTTGTTGACTAATTCGTCACGGTAATACTCTTTAACATTGTAAATTGTAGGAATAATTGCTTATAACAAATTTTCTCTTTAATTCTTTACTCAAGTTATAGAAATCTCGTGGTTGATTTAAAATTTCTTAGTAAAATACTGGTCTATTGGTAAATAAGTTAATTATTACAAATTCTGTTGTTGTTATATTAAACAAATATTTTAAGTAGTACATTTATTAATGTAATAAACAAAAAGAAATAAGATGGTAGGAGAGGGAGAGAAGGGTAATGTGAGGGACGCTTGTAGTATACAAAGAAATAGAGAAAAAGTAGTATAATGCGTGAAGGATGATGTGTGTTTGTGGGGGCGCCTCACTTATAATCTCCTCCGGCACCTCACTTATCAAAATTATTAGCGCCTCCCTTATCAAAATAAAAAATCAATTTGATAACAAATAATAGCGCCTCACTTTTCAAAGTTATTACCACTTCCCTTATCAAAATTATTAGCGCCACCCTTATCACGTTATTACCGCCACACTTTAAAAACGTTTCATTAATAAATGATCGCAATAAATTTATATGCGTTCTGAAATAATATTATCTCCCTCCATTAATAGTTGTTATATATACGTTATTATTTTGGTATAAAAACTATAGTTTCTTTTAATAAAATTCAGTAATTTTTGATTTGTAATCGGTGAAGTTTGTAAAATAACGTAATCAACGTGAGGATAATTTAAAGACTATCATCCACAGATAAAAGTAAGTTTTTTAATAATTCATATTAAAACACAAGATTAATTATTTTACAATGATATGTGTATTTTAAATTTTAGATGAGTATGATAAATAAAGATTGGTTGAATGGTATGAAAAATAAACGTAGAATGTGTGTGTCTGATCTTAAAATAGGAGTAGAATACAAGGTTCTGGGACTGTACGTGATAAAATCAAAATACTCGAATGAGACTTCAGTGGCTGAAGTAAAACTTGATAATGAACCGTCATTTCAAGTTTATTTACCCGCAAGATTTACATTCACTCGTGAAGATTTAAACAAAGGAATCGATGAAAATCTCAAACTTGTATGCAACGGAAGAAAAGATCACACCTCTAGTTACGATATAATGTTCTTATAACTAATTATTTTTTAATAGAAATATGTGTTAAAATAAATATTGTATTTTTAAAAAAAAATGAAATAATTATATGTACAATTAAATGATTAATAAATTACTCTCGTAATTTAATTTAAAGAAACGCGTGTTTTATTTACTGGAAAAAATCCTGATTATGCTGTGAATAAATTACGTGAGAAATCTTTAGAAATTAAAATCTCAAGATTATAAATTGCAACATATTGTCTGGAAATATAAGATTGTAAAATAAAATGCATCATCTAGTATACAAAAAAGGTTGTAAAATAAAATACAATTGTATCATTTAAACATATTGCAACATCGAATAAGTAAAATTCTGCGAAAACGATCGGCAACTAGGATGGTGAGTTGGATGGTTGTGATTAATCAGGTGAAAAAGTCGAATAAGAAAAATTCCGAGAAAACCATCGGCGTCTAGGGATAGTAGTAAAAATTGCTAACATTTGCAAAAATATAACAATTAAAACCAGGAAAAATGTCCTGTACCGGTTTAATAGTGATTTGGTTGTTGTTTCGATATCATCCAGTGTTTTTAGTTATCAGATATCATCAACATGAGTTTCACATGTAGTGTTTGTTGTAAAACTTTTAATTTTTCAAAGGATTTAAAACGTCATGCCGATACTGTACATAAAAATGATTTTTATGATTGTGTTTTATGTGATAAAAAATTCTCGAGAAAAGATAACGTTAAAAGACATGTTCAACGAGTACATTTTCTGAAAGGTTAGTAAATTATATTGTATTTATTACTCAAATGAATAAATTTTCAATATAAATTACATTAAATTATATTCTATTTGTTACTTAAATTTTTAATTTAAATTATTTTTTAAATAATTGTTATTTAATTCAAATTCATGATAGAAACGGAAAAATAGTGTATACGCTATATATGTAATTTATTGATATTATTTATTATTAAATTTTTAATTTAGGTGATGTTCAGAGTATAGTAAATTACGGTGCAAGTACTTCTAAACACTACCAAGAAAATAGTNACAAGTACTTCTAAACACTACCATGAAAATAGTACGTATATTTTTAATTTTATTATTTATTACTTTTATTTGATTCAATTGTTTTTTTTAATATAGATAGTAGAATCGATTGTATGAATCATATGGAAAACGAAAAGAAAATCAAGAATGATGAAAACAATTTTTTCAATAACAGTGACGATGAACTCTGTAAGTTAAGATTGTAAAATATTNACTCTGCAAGTTAAGATTGTAAAATATTTTTTTAATGTTATGATATTTTTTATTAACATTATACTTTTTAAACAGTAAAAGAATTCATTAGAAAAAAAAATATGAAGACGGGTAATAATTTTTCTGACGGTAAAGACAGTGACGACGATTTTTGTAAGTTCGATTATAAATATTAAAAATTAATAATTAATTATTTTATCGTTATTATTATTATTATTATTATTATTATTATTATTATTATTATTATTATTATTATAGTACTTGAAACTGCTAAAAAAATTGATCCGACACCAACAGATGTAGAAATAGTGAATGTATATCCTGGGGATAGTAAAAACTGTAAGTATAAAAGTGAAAACGCATGTATATATAATAATCATGTAATTATGTTTCAGGGATCGAGCGATTTTCAGAAGATATTGAATTTGAAGATGTATGTAAGTGAGAATTCATTAATTAAAAATAAAATTTAATATTAATTAATAATTATCGTTATCAGGCGTAGAAAATGAAATGACTGGTACAGGTATTCCACACGCGCAGCAAACTAAACAATCGATACCGAATAGTAAGAAAATCAACTTGATAATAATTTTAAAAATTATTTTTCATTTACAGATGATTATGCAAAAAAATCGCGTGCGAGAGTAATAGAATCAGTTTTTTCGGGCAATATAGTTGTACATAGAATTGAAAACATAGATCCGTTTACTATCCCCGAATTCATTCAACGATATGCGTCGGACATTGAAGATGTGTGGAAGAATTCAATTAAAAAACATATTGCGGTAAAGACTTCTTTAGATTTAGTTACAGTTTATAAAAAAATAATTAATGTCAATAGTAGTGCTAATGTAGAAGTACCCACAATTACACAAACANGTTTATAAAAAAATAATTAATGTCAATAGTAGTGCTAATTTAGAAGTACCCACAATTACACAAACACTTTCGATTTCTCCTTTTGTTTTAACACCATCAAGTAGTATTTCCGAGTGGATTACTACTATTAAACATCTGCTACAGAATAAGTCCGAAGAGGTTGAAACGCGTGGGAGCGGATGGGTTTTCAGGGGTGTAATTTTTTTGGATATTAACTGTTTTAAATATGATCCTATAAGGGGAGGGTGTAATACGGTAATTCCAAAAAAATTACTTCGTAAAAATGCTTTGACAAACATAGAATGTGAGGGGGAAGATTGTTTTTTTTGGGCCGTGGTTGCTAGTTTATATCCGGTTCAATCGCGTGGTGTGGATAGGAGTAAGCCCGATTCTTATCCACATTATAATACAGTGTTAAATACTACGGGATTTAGCTCACCTATAACTCTTTCAGAAATCAAAAAATTTGAAAAAATAATAATATAAGCATAAATGTTTACACTTATGCTAATGAAAAAATTGCGGGTCCATTACATTTAACCGAATATAA